TTACCTGAGAGTATATACTGTATCACTTGTTGACACAGTTGTCCCTGCAGTGGAATAATTCACATGCTCGGCCAGTAGGAGGTGCAGTGGTGAAGCAGTAAACCCACAACCTGAAGGTCATGTGACACTTCTCTGTGGCGCTACTGAGGCAGGTGCTGAATTTGACAGATATCCAGCTGAGCTAATGGATAGGAAATATCAATGTTTCTGAATAAAACCATAAGCTGAACAATAAAACCTATAAAATCCAAGTTCTAAGGGAACGTTATTGGCTAGCTAGTCTGCTTAAGAGCCTCCCACCTCCATGGCTGGGGGTTCGAATCACACTCCCACTCTATTTGTATGTCATTTGCATGTTCCCCATGATATTACCCATGATATACACTATACTGGCAAAAGTACTACATCTACAGGAACTTCTATGACATCCCATTCTAAATCCGTAGGCATCAGTGTGGAGTTGGTCCCCCTCTTTGCAGCTATAACAGCTGCCACTCTTCTGGGGAGGCTTTCCACAAGGTTCTGGAGCAGGGGTGCCCAACTCCAGTCCTGGGGGGCCGGAGCCCCGTGTAGCTTCCCTGTTCCACCATAAATGATTCAGCTCAAGAGCTGTGTGATAATTAGCACAAGCAGTTGAATCAGGTGTGTTAAATGAGGGGAAACCCAAAAATGTGCAGGGCTCCGGCCCCCCAGGACTGCAGTTGGGCACCCCTCTTCTGGAGTGTGCCTGTGGGAATTTTTGCCCATTCATCCAAAAGAGTATTTGTGAGGTCAGACACTGATGTTGGACATGAAGACTTGGTTATGAGCATGAGAACATGAGAAATTTATAAACAAGCGGAGGCCCCATTTGGCCCATCAAGCTCGTTTGGGTAGAACTTAACTAATAGCTTAAAGTTCTAAATCTCCGTTCTAGTTCATCCCACAAGTGTTCAGTGGGGTTGAGGTCAAGGCTCTGTGCGGGCCAGTCAAGTTCTTCCACATCAAATTCACCCGATGATGTCTTTTTGGACCTCGTTTTGTGCACTGGGGCACAGTCATGCTGGAACAGAAAAGGACCTTCCCCAAGCTAGGCCTACGAAGTTGGAAGCGTAGAATTGTCCAAAATGTCTTGGTATGCTGAAGCACTAAGAGTTCCCTTCACTGGAACTAAGGAGCCCAGCCCAACCCCTGAACAACAACCCCATACCATTATCCCTCCTCCACCAAACTTTACAGTTGGCACAATGCCGTCAGGCAGGTACCGTTCTCCTGGCATCTGCCAAACCCAGACTCATCCATCAGACTGCCAGACAGTGAAGCGTGAATCATCACTCCATAGAACATGTTTTCACTGCTCCAGAGTCCAGTGGTGGTGTGCTTTACACCACTGCATCTGACACTTGGCACTGCGCTTTGTGATGTGAGGCTTGCATGCAGCTGCTCGGCCATGGAAGCTCATTCCATGAAGCTCCTGGTGCACAGTTTTAGTACTGAGTCAACAGAGCGTTGGCGACTTTTACGCACTATGAGCCTCAGCACTCAGTGACCCCGCTCTGTTACTTCCTGTAGTCCGTCATTTTGTGTGTGAGTTTCTGTTGTTCCTAAACGCTTCGACTTTACAATTATACCGCAGTTGACTGTAGAATATCTAGCAGGGAAGAAATTTCACAAACTGCCTTATTGCAAAGGTGGCATCCTATGACAGTACCATGCTTGAATTCACTGAGCTCTTCAGAATGACCCATTCTTTCACAAATATTTGTAAACCTGACTGCATGTCTAGGTGCTTGATATTATACATCTATGGCAGTGGATCTGAATGAAACACCTGAATTCATTGATTAAGAGGTGTGTCCCAATACTTTTGTGTACTTTTGCCCTGTGATGGACTGGCACACCATCCAGCTTGTACAAGGCTTGTGTCCGATGCTGTCTGGAATAGGCCACAGACCCCAGACCCACCATGAGCCTGCTCAGGATAACTGATACCTAACAGTACTAAATATACCGCATGGGAAACAAGCTCATTATTTCCAGGGGCAAAAGCTTGGTGGCCAAATTTGGCAAGTGAACTCAGGAGGATGTCAAAAAATGGAAGTTTATACAAGATACAATGTGGAAATCACGTTACACACGACTTACACTTCCTGGACGTGTTCTCCTACCCAGACAAGGCAGGCAGTGACCTGCTGAAACACTGAGAAGGGCATGCAGTGCTGCCTAACAGCCACATGTTTGCTTGGATGAGGTGTCTGTAGCAATACAGCACATTATATACAGGATAGTGCTGGAAATTCTGAACTTTCATTATCAGTTACTCAGGATGCATCAAAGTATAAAATGCATTATTTACATTTTTAAATAAATACCATTTTAAAAATATATTACATAATAGTGGATCAGTACCCTGGAAGTGTACGGTATTTCAGAATCACTTTTGGACAGGCTTGATTTGGACAAAGCCCCTCCCTCCCACCCCCCGACCTATGCTTGCTTTTGGATGTTTCTCAAAGTATTTTTATTCTTTTCTTGCTATTATTTACATTATTAATAGATATAAACAGTCATACAAAGACAATTATTTATCTCCCTGGATTGCAAGTAGCACAAGGGCCTCGTTACTTGAAAACCCCTGGTTCTGGTCCCAAATGTGGCTTCTGTATAGTTCCATTCTGCGACACGCCTCATCTGACTTGGCCCAGTAAATTAAAATACAACTGTATATATGGGCAAATTTGGAAGCTGCTTTGCAGAGAGTGCCGAGTAAACACAGCAATTTTTTTTTTGGGGCAGAATTTAGAAGGTTTGGCGGATGGCCAACGAAGGACGTCAGCAGGTTTTGTTTACCAGGTCAGCGGCTGGTGCTCATGTGTGTCCTTAACGCGGCGTTCCTGCGGGGAGTCCACCAGCGCAGGCGGCTATGTGTCACCGGCAGGCAGCCCAATTAATCAGCTCAGGGCGGGGTCAGTCTGGGCCCCCCAAGTGGATCAGTCGCTAAATGCACCCATCCCCCCCCCACCATACACCTTATGGCTCCTAGCCACAACTTCTGCTGATCTATGCTGTGACCCGGGAGCGGGCAGCTCCTTGTAGCTAATGCCCGCTGCCAGGGGGATGGGCGGGCAGCTCCTTGTAGCTAATGCCCGCTGCCAGGGGGATGGGCGGGCAGCTCCTTGTAGCTAATGCCCGCTGCCAGGGGGATGAGCGGGCAGCTCAGACGTGGCCGTTAGCCGTCACTGTGTGGCTCCTCCTGTGTGCAGCACCGTCCACCTCAGCTCCAAAGCATGAAAAACAGTTACCCTACTTAGACAGAGCAGAATCAGCGGAGTCATTCCCTTATTTAGTCATTCTGCATTTTAGCAAAGACTCTTATTTTGAAACAGAGCAGCTGTAGTTAAAAAACATAAGTAAAGTTAGTCAAGGCCCATCATGCTATACAAAAGTTTTCGTTCCAATTTCTTTTGCCATTCCGCTATAGGAATACTGACTGCAAATGAGACAAAAAGCATATTTGCATATTTTACATTCCTAAACTGCTATATTGCAATTCTATATTGCGGTTTGTAAATATTTGCAGGCTCTACTTGTTTTAAGCTTATCTGGGGCCGTTCGGGGTATGAGCACATGCTTAAGCTCCTTGGGGATGGATAAGATAAGAACGGGAAGCCAGGAAGCCAGACTCCATAACCTTCTAACCTTCCTGTAGCTGGGCAGAGAACTTATTTTGCATTGTTTACGTCAGGCCTGTGCAAAAATACAGGAAACCGGAGTAGTTGGTCAATTTTATATATATATAGTGCTGATTATAAATTACTGGAGATAATATTGATGACGCAATAGACATTTATAAGTTATATGTACCTTAACTGCTTAAAAAGCCAGAAGCACATATTAATGTTCTGCAAAGAACTGGCCGTTTCTCCTTCTGTGAGATATTTAACGTGTGAAGAACGTTCAGACGTCCATGTGTGAAGGTGAAGGTGAGGCAGCTCCTCCTACAAGGGCGTGTTCCAGCTGGCTTAGCCGGGGCGCCAAGCAGAGGTCCTGAGACGGGCGTCTTCGTCTATCCCGCTCCGATGTGGGACCACATCAACAAAATCCATTTTGGTCCCAGGGGACCTTTTCAAAATTCCCTCGGCGTTCGCCTTTAATATATCAGAGCCATAACAAACGCCCTGAGTGATATTTTAATGCTGTGTGTCACGTTTCTACAGTAGGACTAAGAATTGGCAGCGAGACACCAGTTGGCTAATGCTAACCAATAAAATACTGGATGTAGCTCAGCATACACCCTATTATTATTATTACAAATGTTTTAAGTGCAATAATTAATAATAATAATGGCAAACCCACCCATCTGCTCACGCAGGTCAGGGCTGCAGGGAGCCTGGGAGCTATAACAGGTAGCAGGGAAACTCCCTGCACAGGATGCCAGTACATTGCAGATAATATTAATATCATGTTTATCGTTTTATATGAATCGCATTTCATATGAACAATATGTTGTATTTTATATCATTTTCTGTATTTCTGGGGCATCTTTACTCTCAATCAAGGACGTAATTGTAATATACTGTATATTGGGGGACACACACCCCCCCCCCCCCCCAAATATTTAGATCTGCTCCCAATGTCCCCCCAATATATAATTATGGCCTGCCCCCCCCTACCCGTGTTGAGTCCATGGTTACAGCCTTGCTCTCTATATTACCTGTTTTGAGTTATTGTTAAATTATTGTGTACAGACTTGAGGCTTCCTGCAATTCAGATTTCCTAATCTGACTTTGTGAAATTACTTACAAACAGAAAACAACTTCCAGTGTGCTTGGTCTCATGAAGTTATTTATTTAAAACATACAGTACGCGCCTGTCAATTTTCCTCTGCCCACAAGAGGATAGTAATGCATTTGAACTGAGAAGTTCGGCAATATCTCATCTTTTTGTGCTTAAAATAATCTTGCGTGTGTTGTTTGTTTAATGACTTATCAAACATACATGACAAAAGACCGGCACTCGTGAACTTTCACAAAATCAACATTAGATTTTATTTCCAACGCAAACAGCTGAACAGAAAACTGCTCTTACAGAGATTCTTCTTTGCAGTAGAAAATCATCTAGCATAGCCCTTGACATTCACCTCCACTTTACACTTGCACAAACAAAGCAATTTACACAACATCCGCCATTTTCAGTGTAGGAAGATAAACAGTGCTCAATGAAACAGGAAGGACCAAAAAAAGACGCACGAAAAAAAAGTTTCACTCATCGCACTTTTCCTTTGGACCCCCGGCCACAGATACCCCTCACTTCCGTGACATGCATACCTCACAGATAACTTTTTAACTCTTTCGCTACTTTTCCTCAGTTTCACATATTACTGCAATCGCACAGCGTGGGATTTAAAAAAAACGACAATGCAGAAGCAACACAACGATAAAACGAGCAATGAATTGGCTGAATAGAAAAGTGTAGTGCAGCAGGATCTTTAACCAGATAAAAATAGGCAAACTCGTATGTGCAAAGGAGCAGGTTAAATATCTTTAACCGTCTGGGAGCTGGCTGGGGTGTGGAAGGATTACAATTTCCTTGTTTTATTGCTGTTGCTTTGTATGTCATTGCGCGAACGGTGCAGTTACATTAACAAACCTTCAATATGAAGGACCCGCTAAAAACCAGTGACTCTCCTTTAACATTCGCAGACTCCACAGGCATATTTCATTCAGTGCAAAAAAATCTCACCCTCTTTTTTTCCCTCTATTAAAACAACTTTCTGGTGAAATGAACACACCATCTGCATCAATGGGCGTCAGGTCCTTCTGTGTTAAACAGGGAGTTCCACTAAATTACTCTATATAAGTGCATTTCACCTATGCTCGTCTAAAGACAAAGGCACTTTTCTACACACGTTTAAGAAAAGATTCCGTCTTCACTGCACATAAAACTAGCAAAATATATAAATCTAGGCATAGTGCCAGAAATGCTGTTTCTTCGCAGAAATACCCACAAGATACGTCAACCTGCAGACACAGCCGTATCGCTTTAGCGTTTTTCTTTTTTAAAGAAGAAGTATTTCAGAAGTACTATTCCGTCGTTTACACAAAAACGGTATCAGACACAGCAACAGAGGAAGGCATCTATATAACAGTTTATCGGGTGAAAATGAACAAACCCCTTTAGGTCATGGCACGCATTAGAAAACCTTTCCGTCTCTGTCCTCGTGCCTTTGACGTTTTTTCTCGGTACAATGAAACATTTCAATTAAAACAAAACTATGTTAACCTTAATAATCTCAAGGATGCCATATTACATAACAATCAGGCTATTTGGATACTACTCAAATTAAATTTGGAATTTAGTGTAGTTACATCCACTTCTACCATTTGTCCGTGCACTGTAACGACTTTCCCACAAAATCGCCTGAAATAAAATGAAAGGTAGGAAACTTAGGAAATATTTTTTTTAACAGCTCTATGTCCCTCCCTGGTCCTTTTTTTTAATAGATAGGCTGTCATCCTAAAATGGGGAATCACACAGGACATATCAGGCCCCCCACATGTGAAGTATAGCAGATGTCTTCAGTCTGCCCTGGGTAGTTACCAGTAGGGGGCACTGTTGTCAACGTGACCCCAGCTCTGCCATTCAGGGAAGAATCCGCTGGACGTTCTGGGACTGCCGAACTGGTCGAACTCCATCTCAGGTCGTTTGCTGCTGCATTTGATCTCTGATACCTTTTTCTGTGTTGTGAGCTGGGAGGGTCGGCCATCGCTCTCCCACTCTGTGTGGACCAGCCCATAGTTCTTCCCATCATTGTTGTCCCAGTACATCTGGTCTTGGGTCTTGTAGCATACGCAGAACTCCGCTCGCTCGTCGTGCGGCACGGCACTGGGCAGGTCGATGACGAAGGAGAAGGTGTCAGTGTCTGTGCAGCCGTACACATTGTTCATAAACGTGCAATCCACGTCCGTGAAGGTCTTCCACGTGTCGAAAGTTATCCGCACCTGCACTGACTTCTCAAAACTAATATTCTTGACTTTTACCGTGCCGGCTAGGGACCTTTCCTGAAGTGTGCAATTCTCCAGACACACAAAGTTGTTCTTGAGGCGATTCCTGAAGTCCAGGTAATCTGCTGCAGGCTGAGGGAAGTCAAGAGCCAAGCTCCTCTCTCTGGCCGTTTTCAAACTGACTGCAGTTTCCCCGATATCAGTCAGGTCAAACTGCAGTTCTGACAGGGGGTCTTCTTCAGACTCTGAGAACAGGTGGATGGCTGTGAGTGACATACCTTTGGAGTCAGCGAAGATCACCCTCTTCTTTCCTTTGCTCTTCTGGCTTTTCCATCCCAAGCTGGCCGTTTGCATTTCCTGCTTGCTGCTGATGCATGGCCGCAGTGGTTTGTACCTGTTGACCAGGTTCCTGGCCCGGCACTCCTCGTAGGAACTCAGGAAGCTCCGGAGAGGAGGGGAGTGAGCCAGGCAGATCCTCATCGCTACGTCAACAGGCATGATGGTATCTGGGATCGGCCTGGGGTTCAAGATATGCAGTACCCTATAAAAGAAGCCACTGTTAGTAATTAAGACAGCATATAGAAACATGACAAGGAAACTAACAATGTAATTTTATCCAGAGTTTAATGGTTATTACTGAGATAACACTATAGGGATAAGTAAGATAAAACTGATTAACATACCTTCTAACATGATTTTTTAAATTGCAATATGCAATGGTAATAAACGTTGTTTCAACTTTAAAATAATAGATAACATAATCATTTAACTTACTTTACAAACTTTAAAAATGCATTCAGAAGACGTATTATTCATCATTAATGATTTTTCCTTATGTAGCAAAAATATGTTAAGTTAGGTCTTTTTTTAAAGCAACAACTAATGAATAACATTAAAACGAAGAAAGCTAAATCAATATCATCATACAGAAAGCCACGTCAAATGGTACGCATAAACTTTGATGCTGGGTTATTTTTTGATGGGACCTACGTCGTATTTTTTGCATTTTACCTGGTGCAATTCATCGAGAAGATTAACGTCAGAAATACCCAAATACAAAGTCGCTGCAGCTGAATCAATGGACGGCGCGAACGATCATTTGCAAATTAATGATGCAAAGATTTTCTTATGCGTTATCTTGCCTGTTTCCTTTCCACACGCCCCCTCCTCGGCGCAGCTGAACCCCACTGGCACCGTCCCCGGCGCTCGCAACAGGGATATCAAGCTGATTTGCATATTTCGTTATTAATGCCAGCCAAGTGGCCAATGGCAGCATGGCGAAGTTACATTTCGCCAATCAGCGATCAGAATGCCTCTGACCTTGCGTGCATGTGCCGGAGAAAGTGGATTGGGGGCTTTGACACATTTTAGATTTCAGACTCAGGGCGGACCTCTGTCGGCTGCTATTAAAACTTATAAGGAATTAGTTCTTCGCCAAAGTGTTTTTACGGTTCATATACTGTTGAAACAAATAAATGAGGTACTCGATACGGGTCCCAAGCAGGTTGTTTTGAAACTTCTTCTCATTATCGAACTAATGCCAATTTTCTTTGATATTTAAATCTCCTCTTATTATTGTCTAATAATATAATAACTTTGTAACTGGTGTTTTGCATTACTGTTCAGATATTTAGTTACGAACATTACCGAGTGACAGAGCTCTGAGGATGCCAAAATAGAGCAAAGAAGACAAATACTTACAAAAACAAATAATTCAGATTACTCCTGTTTAGTGAGACTTTTCAGAGGCAGTGTGATATGTCGAGTTAACTTACTTCGGTTAAGTCTGATTCAGAGACAACCGAATGATTAAATCAGTCAGATTTTGATGAGCAAAAACATCGGTGAATTTACTATTCAGTCTAACAAAGGGCGCTCCGTCTTCGGAGACTGGCTTGTGAGCAACATGATGAATGACAGCAGATTAAAATCAGAGTGTATTTTGTGCCTTTCAAAAGAATATGTTATGCAAATATGTGTAAAAAAAATTAATCGATTTAAATAATCTTTCATAATGCGTAATTTACAAAAAAAGAAAAAAGGCAAAGAGTTCATGGTCACAGACCATGGGTGATACACATAAATAAATCTAGGCCACGTGTTAATCATCAATTTTTTGTGACATACTAAATATTTACATGAATGGCTGCAATACAAATATAAACATGTCTAACAATGATTAAACTGTTAGTAAGTTTTATGATTAAAATCAATACTTCTCTTTCAAAAAACACTCCTGATGGTAAAAAAGGTATTTTAGTACCGCACTTGTTATCTGATGTAAATATTACTAATGTTAAAGTTTGTTGCTGGTTACACTGGAAATTACAACAATCAGTGGTAGTATATATATATATATATATTTCAAGAAGTGATTATTTTAAATACCATGCAGTTTATTCAATATTTCACAAATTTAAAAGGGAATATACATTTACATTGCTCCCGTTACAAAGATATTGTGTTGTGAGTTTTTAGAATACTCTGTAAAGTTACAATGGTTACATCTCATGCTCAATGCATTCTGGTAATATTGGATAAGCTGTATGAAAAATGCTTGGATAGAATACAAAATTTCAGTTTATCAATCAGTCTGTTTTCAACAACTTATCCTAGTGAGGGCTGTGGGAAATATCACTTTAAAAATGTTTCCTATGTACTGTATGGATATTTTAAGAACAAATATGTGAGCATCTACTTTTAGTATACGGCAAACTAAATTAAGTGTGGTATGGTGTCTCAGCAAATGACGCTGTTGTCTTATGTCTCTTGGAGTGTGTGTGTGTGTTTTTTTGTTGGGGGGGCGAGGGGGTTCAAGTCAAGTTAAGTTCCCTATGAAGGACTGACATCCAGTCCAGGGTGTCTTACGCCCTCTGCTACTTAATTTACATAAAACACATCTGGAGTTAAAATGGGCATTGACACCAAAACATGGATTATCACTGGGATGTGTCCATAATAACCTCTTTAGTTGTCTGTATGTAGTAAAAGGTACGGCACAGTAGCACTTAATTTGACCTTTTTAGCATGAACCCAGGCCGCTTCCTCTCTCCGTAAGTAGCCGACCTGACTTCAGGCACGTACTCGCAGACCTTTGCGACGAGAGACGGCTGGCTGTCAGGAGAGGAAAACTCGCGCGGTGATTGGCCAGAAAGTTTAGCTCATGGGAACCCGGAAGTGCTTGGCAGTCTGCCTTGCTGTGTTCACAGTAGCGTGTTCAGGCTTCTGCGTTTGGCAGCGGCGCTGAAGTACGTATTTCATGCTGCTAAATCTGAGTAGCAGTTTTACTTCACATGAAAGATTTCAAAGACAAAGATCGTCTGCAAAGAAAAGCATATAATCCACAGTGACTGCATTTTGCTAAAATGATTTATTTGTAACACTATCTAACAGCTCGAAGCTTGAAAATCATAAATTGACAGTTTCTTGTGCAGCAGTATATTTGAACATATTACTTAATAAAGAAACAAAAATATAATCTGTCGCAAAAGGCATAACAAAGAAATGGAATTGTTGCAGTTACTTTCAAAATACTTTAGATTACGAGTTCTATTGTTTTTTTTGGTTAAAATGAAAAATAGTGTACAATATATTCAAGCTTCCCAAGAGAACTATGGACCCGGTGTACAAAGTATGTTGTACAGTTTGTACAAGTCATCTGGACAGACTATTTTGAGATCTTCTTATGCAATATTGGTTCTAGAGGAGTACTATCTTATTGCAAACAAATTATACACTTGATGCAAAGAATTTGCAGCTACTCTAGTTATAGTCTTAAACATACATAATAATAACCATTGTGAAAATCCCGGGACCTTAAGTGATGCATAGATGTGTATAAGGTCAGACCACACACAAACCACAGATAGGCCTAACGCACACGCAAGGCACATATTACAAAAAAGACACAGTGCGATGCAAAGTCTGTATGAAATTCCCGAATTTGACAACTTTTTAACATAGGACATGGGACACAAAGCAGGCGGCACCATGCAGTGTGAATTCCTGGCGGCGTGCCTAGCTGAGAAAGGCACCGTCAGATATAGAAGTTGAAATCCCGTGCTCAAAATCGCAGGAAGGAATTTCACCGTCATATTTTTAGTTGAACGATGACAGGTTGAAATATCATAAATCACTCTCTGCAGAGAAGAGAGGGGCAACGAGATCACGATAAAGGACTTCAGAGCCATTACCAGTGCTTAATGATGGTCTAAGTCACCATGTAATACTATATTAACTATATTAACTAAGACTAAAGTAACAAACAATGACCTCTAAATTGTTACAGAAGCTGCTGTTTAAAGAGGTTTAGTCCTTACTTTTACAGACTATGGTATGCAACGTTAAGACTCCTTATGCAATAAAACTCATGGGTTAACTGCATTCAGTTACGCTACACCTGTTGGAGATTTCGTTGAATGAATAGAGCTGGAACCTCCCCAGTCTGTGACGGACACAGTGGGACGTGAGTCTATTTTTATTACAGCTGTCTCAAACAGATGCCTTTGACAGGATTTCAGCTCTATAGCGCAGAGTGGAATTACATAATCTGCCCTTGACCAGCTATAGTTACTTCATGACATACTGGCTCTGTCTGAAAGCTTTCACCCCACCGGTCTTTCATCACAGCCTGCAAACACACGGCACGGTGGGTGGAATTTGAAATGAAAAAAAGGCATTAATCTGTCGCAACGTTCACACCAATGTGCAGCACATTTATGTGATACGCAACAGAAGTATGTATAGTGACCAGACCATGATGAAATTAGCAGAACCTATCGGCACCCATTTGGGGCCGTTGTCATACAATGTAACAGAAAAGCAAAGTTAAGAGGATGGTTTAGTGTTATATTCTCTGATTAAAGTGAAAACCCCGCATAGGGCAAGCAGGTATAGATAATGGAGAGATGGGTATGTCTCTAACAAAAGATGTCCCACCTCAGGCAGTAGTCAATCCTTTAAATGTAATAATTCATAATTTATTACATTAGTGACATATTGTGATGTATTTCCTTATTTTTCTTCTGCAGGCCCTGATTTAGGTTAGGCTATACATTTATTAAACTTAATATTGCTTCCTCAGAAAGTCTAATAACAACCATTTAGCAGTTCATTAGAAATCTACCCGTTAGCATATCATTTAAAAAGATTAAATTAACGATCAACCACAACCAAAGTGTGGTTTTCGTAAAGATCTGTCTGAGTCATGGTGTGTTAGCAGTGTAACGGTAAAATAAGCTGCTTTCATTGTGACAGACACTGTAGCTCTGCAGCGTGCTGCAGGCTGCGACGTGAGTGTGCCGTTTGTGTAGTCAAGCATTATCAGCAATGAGATCCTATTGACTTACGGTGTACTTCATTTTATCCGTCCATTTTACATTCCTACCCATTATTCTGGTCAGGGTCTTGAAGTGGGGGAGGGGGGTTGAACCACGTACTGTAGGACCAGGTTACAGATAAGGGGCACACCCTAGATGGCATGCCAGTCCATCGCAAGACACATGTACGCACTCCCACTTATAAAATAGATCACCACAACTTATTCAGTTTCAAAGATCTGCTCTGTGGTCTGTTTTTTTAGAGAAAAATATTCTTTAAACTTATGGAAATGGATACATAGTATTTTTGTTGACAGATACTTGTATGGATAAGAGATAGATGCTTATGTGAGCCAGATGATGAAATATGAAATGACAGGGAATGACCTTGTAACACAGCGTTTCTTTGTACTTATGTACTTTGTACTTAAGAAAATTTTACATTTGCATCAATATTCCTTATTATAGATAGAGTTACTGCTCAATAGTGTGGGAGATGTTTCATGAGTCTCCCTGGATATTGTATCAAGGTGCTGAATATAGGCCTACATAAAACTGAAGAAACGTTTCCATGGAAACGTTTTCATTTTTATTGCATCATTTTAGAAACGTATTCTAATAAAGAACAATTGCTATAGGTGCATAAACCAGTAAAATCAATATGTAAAATGATTTTTATTAATAGCAGTTTACATTACTTCGAATTTATGTAACTGTTTTGCAATCTGCTTTCGTAATTGTGCGTCTACTACCACCTAGTGTCGATATGCTGTATTTAAAAATAGGCCAATGTTTTCCTTTCTCTTTAAACTGTCCTTATAGGGTTTAGTCCGTTTGAAATACATCAGATGATTAAGTTTAATTCAATAATAATCATCATCATCGCGGGAT